AATACAAAATAGGACTGGGGTGTTGCTCAGTGGCCAAGTGCCCCTGAGTTCAATCCCCAGTACCAAAATAAATAAATAAAAAGCTGTTTAAGAAAAGAAAGTCCTGGGGCTGGGGTGGTGGCTCAGCGGTAGAACACTTGCCTCACACGTGCAAGACCCTGGGTTCAATCCTCAGCACCACATAAAAATAAATAAGTGAAATAATGGCATATAAATAAGAAAGGAAGGAAGGGAGGGAGGGAGGGAGGGAGGGAGGAAGGAAGGAAGGAAGTCTGTCCAATTCAAGGGATATGGTGGACTGGGTTCCTAGTAGTTGAAGCTGGATTCCCAGACGTACCTCCAGTGGGCACCCCAGGCTGCACGACAAGGATCAGCATTCCCCGCCTTTCACACCTGCCACAGCCTGGCAGAGGTGCCCAATCCGCTGCACACCCCACATGGCTAAGGGCACAACCCGACCCCCAGGCAATTAACCCATTTCCTCCGCTAGTTGTCCGAGAGGCGAACAGACCGGCCTAGTTTCCACCTCACTCCAGAGGCACCCTTGGTAGGGAAGAAATCAAGCAGAAGCCTATGGGGGCACATGAAGGTACAGAGGCCCTGTACCCTCTGGTGCCAGCTGACCTGGGCATTGCAGTGGCACTCTTCCCAATACAGGGCAGTGGGGACACAAGCTTCCATAGACTCCAGGGCCTCCTAAAGTCCATTCCAAATTTTCTGGTAGAAAGCCCACAAAGTCCAAGGCTCTGATTCCCAACTTGCTAAAATCCTAGCTATTTACCATCTAGATCCAAGTATCCACCAGCCAACCTCAGGGGAGGGCCCTGCCCGTGGAGGTCAGGCACTCAAATGCCCCCACATGCATTTTCAGCTGGCCCTGGGGAGAGGCCAGCCACTACCCCCACCCCCACCCCCACCCCCAGGGCTCCAGCAGTGGCAACAGGTGCTTTGGGATAATGTGCTCACTTACAGCCTGAAGCTCCCGAGACACATGAACAGCAGCACATGGTGTGCCCCTCACCCCCATCCTCACCCCCACCCAACTGTGTCCCACAGAAACAGGACTCCACACTACAGATGCTTCCTTGCCCCAGACAGGTGGTCGGAGCAACACTGCAGTATGACCAACCACACTGGCAGGCTGAGGGACCAGGCCCCAAAGAGGTGTCAACAGTACCTCATTAAATACATGCTTCCTCTGGCTCCGAGTCCCACCCCTGGTGGTAAGGCCTGCAGACCTTGGTGCCTGCTTGTAAGGTGTAACCGGTGGAACCCAGCTTGGGCTATGCAATGGCACTGGAACATCGGGAGCACAGGCCAGTGGGAGCTGGTGTCACACAGCCAACCAAGACCTGCAGACAAAGGGGTCTGCTAGGCTGGAGGGGAGGCGTCGAGCAGCACTGCCTGCCTCTGCACCACAGCTATGGTAGTCACTTTTACATGTCTCTAGACGGTGAAGGGGAGCCAGGCGCAGAGTGGTTCCAGATACTTGAGAGGCTGAAGTGGGAGGGACCACTTCATGAGCCGGGGCCTTCGGGGTCAGCATGAACAAAGCAGAAAAAAAAATCTAAAAAAAAAGTTTGGGGGAAACATACAGAATTACCCTCTGTGTCACACGTCAACATCACATGAAACAAAACTGTAATCTCACTGTCCACAAGTGTAGTGGTGTGGGGCCATGGCCTGCCTTGTCCCTAGCTGCCCTACATTGGGATGGTAAGGTTCAGAAGCTATCTCATCCCACAAAGCTGGAGGTCTCTACTACCATCCAGCAAAGACAGCACATTTCCTGTACAAAAGGAGGAATTACCTACTCATTGTGGTCTTTGCCTGCACAGAGCCCCTTGCCCCCAGAGAGAAGACTGCATGGGTCCTTGCCCAGTCCTTGTGTGACCCACCTGTGGGAGTCCACCACCCACTGTGAAAACAAGTGGACACAATATATTAAAATGATCCTCAGGAGAATTTTACCTTTCATCAAAGCTTGCTTGTGGCTAGACATGGTGTGGGGTGAGCTTGCCTGGCATGCATGGGTCTCTGGCTCCACCCCCAGCACCGGAGCAAAACAAAACACAGGTAAAACATGATTAAAAGCCAGGTGCCCCAGTTTTTAATCATTTTTTAAAACTTTCTGAAACTTTGCTACTTTGGCATAGTAGTTCTCACAGAGTGGACCAAGCACAGGTTCCACAACTGCCTTCCAGGTTCCAGGGAAGGGAAGAGGGAAGGGAAGAGGGAAGGCAAGGCAGGCTACCCGACCAATTCCATCCATCTACATGACCACCATCTTGGCAAAGATCCACAACATCGTACGCTAAGAAAAAGCTTTCAACGCAAACTGGGGGACAGGACTTCCAGGCATGTCTGTGAGGTTCTGAACACTTCATCATGAGAGAGACAATCTGAGTAGAGTTTATTGAGCTTCCTGCAGACAAAGAGGCCTTTTTCCCTGCAGCCAGCTGGCGGTACAGCACTGACTAGAGGACAGTCCTTCTCCTTCCCAGAGCTCTGTGCAGAGCAAGCCCCACTTGCACTCTTTGCTCCCAGAGCAGGGTGGCTCTGATGGGGCTGCAGTCAGGAGGCACAGCAGTTTCTGCCTCAGTTGCAAACCCAGCCTCTAAAGCCAGATGTCCATGGTCAGTGTGTGTGAGGGGGTGGCCAGGACAGGACAGACAGGGCCTTCACTGCATTCCAAGGGCTCCCCCCCTAGGATACCCCCACATCAGGCTGATAGTAGCTCATCACCAGGCTGGGGTCTACAGCTGTGAGACTAGCTGGGTCAGGGGCCATGTGTGGGGGACCTCCGTGAGAGCCCAGCCTCATTCCCTCTCCTGTTCTTCCCACAAACAGCCACCTCCGCTGCCATCCTCAGGCTCTTCCCCATGGCTCTGGGTGCTCATGTTTTCTGGACCTTCAGTGGCCAGTCAAGAAACCAGGGGCTCAGACACGTGTGGTCCAGGTCTTCTCCCCACGCCCCTGTATGCAGTGACACACCCTCTAACTGACCTTGCCTGTGACTGCTCAACACTGCACACCTGGACACATCAAACTTTGGTCTGCTGCAGGCAGAACCTCCTGGCCCTTACCCACCCAACAAGTTACTTCCAGTGCTGAGGGCGTGGCCCACTGACACACTGAAAACTACTGCCACCAGCCAGGCATATACCTGAAGACCCAGAAACGCACAGATGGCTTCCTCCCGAGTACCCCAACACAAGGCCAGAAGGGCCCAGCCCTGAGGAGTGAGGGCTACACTGGAGACACCTAGAGGGAACTTTCTGGGAGCCCTTTGTCTCCCACGACATCAGTCCCACTCCTGCGTGGTGGCTCTGGAAAGGCAGAAATGGCACAGTGAAAGGTACGCGTGTGGCATGTGGCGTGCAGCGTGCTCTGGGGCGCTCTGGCACTCCCCACACAGGCAGGACCAGAGGGCAGCACACGATTCCCACTAAGGGGAGGGGGCCAGGCTCGGGCCCAGGCCCCTGCAGCCAACGGGTATCAGGCCCTGGGACAAGTGCTTCAGGCAGTTTCCTGGAGTTCCAAGGTGCAGAGGCCCCAGCCCTCAGTGCCACACTCCCCAGACAGGTGAAGCCAGCTAATATGGCCCACACTGGCACCTCCTTGGCTTCCCAGAACAAGGACAGACTGGCAAACCATAGGCCCACTCCACACTCACAGGCTTCTGTTTTAATGGAACAATGGCAGCATTTAAGCTCAGATCTCAAACTCCTGGGAGAAGGGCATCACTGGCCCCTGGAAAGAGCACCAGATGTGTCTCTCCTGATCCCTCAGACCCTCTTCACCCCAAAGACACCCTACAGACAAGTGACCTAACTCAACCCCAGGACACCTGGTGTCATTTATTGGTGTCCACATGCTGAATGCCAAGGCTTTAAAAAAGCCTAGTGGAAAACACGCAGGTCTCCAGTGGGTCACAACTGCAATCTTCAGCCCACAAGGCTGTTAAAGTGAGTGAAAGCCCAGCTGGGCACCCCCCACTGACATGATGGGGACAAAGACGTGATCACAAGCAGGGATCAGCCCTCCCCAGGACTGCTGTCCAAGGTCACCATCCACCATGCACGGTGTCCCCGCCAGCTCTGCAGCCCAGCCCAGCAGATAAGGCCCCTTCTTAGAAATGGGGGCTGGCGAGAGTGGGGGGTAGTTCTGAAGTTAAGAGGATGGGGAGGAGGAGCAGTGTTCCGTAGAGATAAGGAGGCCACCCCCAGCTAGGGGGAGCAGTGGCAGCCCTGGGGAGGAGCTGCTTCTTCACAGTCCCTGACCGGGAGCCCTGGGACAGCTGGGCACCTAGTGGAATCTGTTTAAAAAGTACAACAGAAAGCCCACCACTGCTCAGGGTCCGTGCTCAGGTCGGGGGCCAGAGCTCAGAGTCAGCAGGCCTGCAGCCTCACATCCTGGGCGAACAACAAGGGCTAGGTTCCCCTCCCGCTGACCGATAAGCTGGTGCAAACAATTATTTTTGGCAACCACAGGGTTCCCCTCCGACAGGATAAACAAATCACATTTAGCCTGGCCCTGGTAACCACCACACACTGCGCAGAAAACCTGCTGGCGGCAAGCACACAAACTCGCTGGGCCCAAATAAACACAAGCTGGTTCCACGGGGTGCCTGTGTTCTGTGGACTGCTACAGGGCCATGGGCACTGGGCAGAGGAGAGAGGCAAGCTCCCTTCCCAAAGAGGCTGACTACCGGGCGTGTTAGGAGTCCTCCTAGAGGACCCCAGGAACTCATGCCCGTCTCCAGGACCCACTCTGACTTAGGGAAGGTCCTCCCGCGGGCTCCCAGCCACACTGTCCTACGCTGGGAGGATAGGGTGCTGGCATATCCTTGTTAGCAGCGCGGGTCTTTAAGAGAAAAGGAGGGAGGAGAGAAGGAAGGAACAGGAGGAGGGAGAGAGGAGGGAGAGAGGAAGGAGGGAAGGAAGGAAGGAAGGAACGAGGGAGGAGCGCGGAGGGCAGGATCCCGACGCCGCACTTACTTCTTCACGTTGGCCTCCCCGTTGGGGATCCGCCGCAACTTCTTCTTCTTGAGGATCTTGACGGCCCTCCGGCACAGCGTCTCCGAGTCCAGCACCTCCTTCACCTTGCCGTAGGAGCCCTCCCCCAGCAAGTCCCCCATCAGGTACTTGCCGATGAGTTTGGCCCGCTTGCGGCGGGGCTGGTAGATGACCTCCGTGGAGTCGATGCGGTGGATGAAGGTGTCCATGCCCACGGACATCAGCTCGCCCTCCGTGAACATGCCCAGCTGCTGCGGGTCCGCCACGTCCATCCTGGACCCGGTGCCGGGGAGCCCTGGTCCCCCTTGTCCCCTCTGTGGGCGGCTCTTCTCCGACCCCCACTTCCCTCCTCCAAACGTTTAACAAAAAAAGGAAAAGGCAACGAAGCCCCCCACCCCCCACC